TGAATCAATTTTCTAAATCTTTACAAGATCCATAGTTTACGTTTAAATATGCCATAAAAACTTTTATTCTACAAAAGAATGTCAATCACTTGTAGTAATTGCATCGAAATTTCAACAATTACTTCGTAATTTTATGAGTTTTGAAATGTTAAAATTTAAGAATGAATTGGAAGAGCTAAATGAGCATCAAACCTCTTCTTCTCCTGTTAATTTGTCGAAATAAAATAGGTATGGATGCTAATAAAATGGATTTAAAAGGTTAATCATTCCGATGTTCAAACATCCTCAATGCCGAAAAGATGAAGAGAGAGAAAAGAAACCTTAGTAATATACGGTACTGCGACAGCTTCCGGTTTTATCATTGCAAAAGTGAATGAAAGCATTGCTTTTGAGTTTTCTTTGTCCGTCCAGCTCTAGCTTCAGCAACCGAAAATATTCCAGAAAAATAGAATTCGAATACACTTTTAACAGCGGAAAAATTTCTGCTATTATTGCAGAACGAAACAAAGTGAATTCAATTTTTGCATCGAAAGCATAATCAATTCCTGGTAATCATTTGATCCGATTAAGCGGCCTGAAATTCCAACTTGTAACAAAAACAACAAGGCTACGAAACCGACGAAATCTCGGGAAACCTCGAGAATAATGACGTCTTAGGACAGCGCCTTTCAATAATTTTGCGGTCCGTGAATTATCGACTTTTGTGTGGTATGAGGTGACGAATGTTTATGGTCGGAAGGAGGAAACGGAAGTTGAAGTAATCGGTTATGTTGGACGATTTTCTCAAGCAGTTTTTTTTTTTTTTAAATTCCGGCTTATCTTGATGATTCTCTGTCATTTTCTTAACTTGAACATTTCTTACGGTTTTTTTTTTCTAAAATTAACTTCCGTGACATTGCATCGTTGACTGTGTGATATTGACAAGAACAACACTTGTTATTATGTGCCTATACTTGACATGACGCAGTATTTCTAGACACATTTCTTATTTGTGTAAGTGAACTTAGGAATATGCCTTAATAAGTCATGTGTGTAATCGATCATAACAAAATTATCACCAATTATGCTAGAGTAATGCGGTACATTGGAATATTTCAAATAGAACATTGCTGTAAATAATAAATGTAATTGAAAAATTTGCTGAATCATTTTCTCCGAATACTTTTTCTTTATTTTGAATATTTAAAAGAAAAATGAGATTTGTTTTTGCAGGTAAAAATAATGTGTGATTGTAGATGGAATGGGTTTTGTGCTCCTTTGCACTGCTCATTTCATAAAATTGCACTATTTTGAAATTGATATGAAACAGTGCCAGGTTTGCTCTTGCTATTTGCATATTTTTTAAATTTTAAAAATTTTTTAGAATTTAAATTTTTTAGAATTTTTATGGTAATGGAACTACAAAGATGAATGATTTTTGCAGAGAGAAATTTCATCATCATCATCATCATCATCATCATCATCATTATAATAATGAATGAGAAAGAAAATGAATTGATGTTCTCTTTTTCTGCTAATCATATCCTATTATAATTGTGAATTGTGTAGATCATCAAAGGATATTGTCGGCATAATTACTGAAATACAGTCAGAGATTCACATTCAAATTGTCATCCATCAGGTCATTCCATTTAAATCACCCCAAAACTTCTGAATTATGATGTGAAGATTGATAGCCTGAGAATATGCAGTGATTGAAGTGAAGATGAGAAAGTGTGCAAACACTTCAATATTAAATATATTATAAAATAACAGGAAAATGCCCGAAGAGGGCCTTCGAATGGATTAGGCTTGGAATGTGAAACAAATGAGCCACCAATAACTAAGATTGGAACACGCAAATGGCGATATCATCAAGGACGGAATCAATTTTGGTGCGATGGTCGCATCATTATGGCACGGCAGAGTTCCATCTTTCTTTTTACTTTGATGGTTATCACTGGAACGATGGGTCTATTTTTCGTCTTTGAGTTAGTTTTTTAGCTCAAGTTTTTGATATAACTGAGGCGGGAAAAGAGGGACATGAGAAAGTATAAAGGCCCAAAAATCTGGGAAATATAAGATGACGATGAAATGCTGTCATTTCTTTGTTTTTTTTTTTTTTTCAAGCATTTTTTTCTAATCTTAGAGCAATGCAGCATCTTCATGTACACTTCTAAGTGTTCGCAAAGAATAACTGCTTTGAAATGTTATTAATACGATGTTTTATATCATTAAAAAAAAATCTGGATTTTTTGCCTATATCATTCATCAGCAATTATAAATTACGCGGTGCTACTGAGATAATAAAAGATAATAATACAGTAATGATTTAAATTTAATTTAACTGGAAAGATTTTATCAGTAGACTATAATTTACAACTTCATTTCCGATTTTAATACAGTGATACTTTAGTGCACCGTATCTGTTTTGGAACGTCTCACCTGCTCTTCCAATAGTTGCTGGAATGCTACTGTGCCTTGTGCTAATTAATTTATTCAAGACATCATTTTCTGATCCGGGAATATTACCGAAGGCCACAAGTTTGGAAGCTATTGAGATTGATCGACAAAATGTTGCAGGTAATTCTCTCCAAAATTAGTAAATGTAGTAGCTTTCTTTTGACTAATAATTAAATGAGGACTTTTAGTGTGTTATCTTCGAAATTTGTTTACTCGATTCTCTTGCCAACTTGAAATAGTTGGGATCACTTAATTCTAATTGGTCCATATGTTAAGTGTCTATTATGCTAATTTATCTCCAAGAAACATATCTTTCTTGAATCTGTGTTTTTTTACAGCGAGGAATTTTGGGTGGTATTACTTTAATTGTTGGAAATAGTTCCGTCCCTTTTCCTGTTTAATTTTCAAATTTATATTACGTGAAATGTATGAATTTTGCTTTTCGAATAATAAGGAAGTTTTGGTGAATTACCAATGCAATCATAAATATTTTTTAGTCCGCTCTAAAAGCTTTCTTCAGAAATGTTGGAAGCAGTGCGAACACCACCACGAACGAAAGCAATACGCATTAACGGGCAACTTATTAAATTGAAATACTGTTTCACTTGTCGGTTATTCCGTCCACCGCGTTCCTCTCATTGTTCCGTGTGCGACAATTGCATCTTAAACTTCGACCATCATTGCTAGTTTATTACTGAATTTTTTTTGTCCAATGAAAAATCTGTTCCTTGTTATTTTTGTTCAAAATATAAAAATTATTCATTTCACAGGTCCATGGGTTGGCAATTGCGTTGGGAAACGAAATTATCGACACTTTTATTTTTTTATTGTATCACTCACCGTGCTAACACTATTTATATTTGCATGTGTGTGTCTACATCTTATTATTTGTAAGTCTTTGACCTGCATATTTTTATCTTAAGTTTTTGAAAGCTATGAGAATATAAATTATTCTTTGAAATATAATTTACTGATCTTGCAATTACTGGAATGGAAACTGTAATTTTGATGAAATCTCTATATTTAGATGTTGGTTTGAACTTTTCCCTAACTTCGTTTTTTCTTCCAAAACTGTGGCTTCATTTTAAATCAAGCCACAATTTTGGTTTCTTGATTTTAAATGTATACATTGAGCGTCAGTCGAATCATCCAGCTTCTTGTATGTAACATGACTTTATTTTTGAGGTTGACTATATTTCAGAATATTGCACTGTTATGTTCTAACATTCATTGATATTCAGGTCACATTTTGTGGGAGAAAGACGCAAATATTTTAAGTTCAGGCGTTTTGTATGACATAGTAGATGCTATAATTGAAGCTACATACTAGTTTTTTAAATTTTTTGCAAAGCGTGACGAAAAAGTAAATGGAAGTTAGTACAACTTCTGCTTACTTTTATTCACCTTTTTGAAGTTAATCGTTTGTGAAAGTGTATGTTTTACTTGTTGCAGTGTCACAAAAAGAGAATGCTTTTCTGGGTGCCGTAAGACAAAGCCCTATATCGCTTGTAATTGCTTTAGTATGTTTTTTCTCCATTTGGTCAATATTTGGTCTTTCTGGTTTTCACACGTATTTGCTGTTAACGAATCAGACAACAAATGAAGATATCAAAGGAACATTTAATTCGAAACGATTACCACATATACAAAACCCATATACCACTGGTTCTATATTTTTCAACTGTTTCCGAACATTATGCGCTCCGGAACCTCCAAGGTTTGTAGTTGTCTTTGCTTAATTTTGTTATTATAATTGATCTTCTTGTAAAAATCAAATCTCTTTATGCTATGATTGATTCGCGCTGCTAGAAATAAAGATGTATTAGATGTTGAAAGGAAAACAAAGGCGTGAAAGTTGTGTGTCTAAAAAATCCATTTTATTTGGACGAATTAAATTAAATTTGCTGAAAATTTTTAAAAGCTGGTTGCCGTACAGTGAAACGTAAATTAAAATAAAACAAGTTGACTCTATTAGAAGTTTAAAAAGTCTTATATAAACGTCTGCATTTTTTTTTTGTTGCAGTATTGTAGCTGATTTACAAAAATATTCCTCCAACAAGAAACGATGCTTTTTTTTAGTTTAATTGACCGGAGAGGAATTGTTGAACCTGAACCGACTGTGATAGTGAAGAACTATGGTGCAACTGATGGTTTAGAGCGACGATCATGCGAAATCGTTTTAGGCTGATTAATTTTTTATTTATTAAGAAGTTAGATGGAGAGATATTTTATGCTAATAAATGACGAAGAGTTACTCATGTTGCTTTTTTCGTTTAATCTGTGACTGGAGAGAGGATTTCAGTTGAAGATGATATTTGCTGTTTTTAGTAAATTTAATGGTTTGAGAATCCAAATTAATGAAACCGAGGGAAGACTACTAGTAAATAAAAGGGGTAATCAATCGAAACGGTCTTCCAACGAAAAAAAAAAAAACGTTAGCTTTACCTTTTGTCATACCCATGCCAGAATGCAATTTTTTAGTTCCGATTTTAAAACCCAATCGAAACGTTTTCATTAAAATTTTACTGTTTGTTTTTTTTATTTAGTCATATGCGCAGCTGTTCGTTTTTACTGTTTGCACATGATAAATCTCCATCGTGTAAAAAATGTAATTTATATAGTGCTAATTTTGCAGTCATGAAATATGGAACATTCGTTTCACAAATGATTCAGTCACAATTAATGTCTTTTCTACGCCTATGCATACCGATGTTTTGCTACAGTCTTTTTTATTTATATTTATTGATTTATTATGAAGCAAAACTCATGAAGCTTTGAATCGTCTCAGAGTCTAAATTCCGAATGAAATTCTTGTATTTGTCGAGAAAAAATGAAAATTGCTACATTTTGCCAATTTTTCCAACTGGTATTTTGTATGTTTTGTTTGTTATATTTTTCACTTCACTACTGGTTTCTTTCGATTTCATATTCTAAACTGCTGAATGATCTGCTTTGATTTCCTTCATAATATTGGGTCCTGATAAGTATTTCTGAACAGATTTGCAGTGCCATTTTAATATAAAGTCAGTGTTTTTTTTTTTCAAATAAAATTTTTCTCCTTTATATATTCTCACAATTCAGTATTTTTCATCGCAAATGTACAACGGATAATCAGCTAAGTAATGCTGAAAATGTATCAGGAAATATATCTGATATGTCTTGCACTGATTAAGAAAATGTTTTAGTTTGCAAACTGGTGATTAACACTGCTTAGAAAATTAAAAAGCAATAAGTAAAATGGATCATACTATCGGTTGTTTAATGATATTCATCGCTGATAGTAATTATTGAAAATCTTTTTTAAGTTCCTTCACAGTCAAGTTTATAAATATAGTTCATTCAATTTGCAAAACTCATTTAACAACTAATTAGCACTAATGTGGGTAGTGCGTTTCATACTGGTGATTGGAAATTTAATTCAAAACCCTGTTGTTGTGTTAACTTCTAATGTAAGCCATTTAAAAGAAATTAGCAATAAAGGTAATCTCTACTTGTAGCAATTTCTGATTCAACAAACATCTTCGTGATCCTGAGTTAGAAGGTGAAATTTATAATTGCAACGTCAGTATTCTTTTTTGTACGCATTCAGAAAATCTACAGCAAAAAGTTACTAACAAAATATTACACGTACCCCTATAAGTGACCTACACGTATAGGAAAGAATTCAACGGCTATACCCCAAAATTTTTTTTTATTCGCTATTTGTGCTTAAACCTTCAATGTCTTGTTCTCTAACCACCAACACATGATAGAATTTTGTAAATAGACTGTTTGCACAGGATTATGATGACAAATTTTGGAAAAAAACTATTGAATATTGAGAGACTACTAGAGAGCAAAAGAGTGAGGGTAAGATAAAGATTGAGTTATAAAATTTAATTTTAGTATAATGTGGTCCTTTTCTTTTTCCTCTTTTAATGTTACAATACAATTACTGTAGAATGATGAGGTACAAATAATTTTTTTCAAATTCCGAAAAGAATTTTCAGCTTTTCGGAAGGAATTGTTAAGTGTTTCTACATGATAGGAATTGTTGATTTTATATTGGGAATTGATACATTTAACCAATTAAATTGTCCATAGTATATTTGAATTACAATGCATTTTATAATTAAATTGAACTTTGAAAAGATAGGTATCCTTAAATTTTAGATATAAGTTGATTCAGTTAAATTTTTGAAAAGTTTATCAGTGTTTGTCGCGTTATTTAATGAATAGATTGATAAATTTAAAATGTTTTTTTTTTTTAGAAATAAATGAAACAAATAGCACGACCATGTCGGATGTTGTGGAATTTGCACCGACAGAGGAATATGCTTATGTTTGCACCAGAAATTATTGTTCCTACATTACCAACTACTTATAGACCATTAGAGGTTTTTTTTTTTTTTTCTAACACTTAAAAGTTCACATTCTAATTCCTTTTTAAATTTCATTTATCAAATTTGATTTAGCCTATCATTTTTTTGTGTAATAAGATATTTAAGGAAGTGAGTTTTTTGGATATTTTACTTTAAACATGAAGTTCCAAAATTGATTCGAAATACAGTTTACCTATTTGATAAGCATACAATTTTCACTGTGCTAAAATTTGATTAGAAGTTTATCTTCAATATCTTATTACATTTCTATGTTTTTTTTTTATTTTAGTTTCTTGTCGAAAACAAGGAATTTTGATAAGAAGGACAGGGTGATTTGCTTTTAAATGAATGATTGCCCTTATTATAATTTATTATTTGTTTTCCCTTTTTTTAGCAATCATTTAAATCAGTACGATATTTCTCACAGCAAGGACAGCACCATTCAAGGCCTAGAAATTTTTTGAAAAATTTATTGGATAACATACGAGAAGAATTTGAAAAAAATAAAGAGTTGCAAGTGGGATTTTTTTCTTTTTCATTTTTTACTTCGTCGAAAAATTGGTAAAGTTTAGAAAAGCAAATTAAAGCCAAAAATTGATGAGATGATATTACTTTTAATAACTTTTCACAAAAATAATTCATTACTCTTAATCCGTCATAATAGTACCGACAATTACATAGTTTGGAATGATATAATTAAACATATTAACTTTCCAATCTTTGCAGTAGAATCGAGAGAAGTCTTTTTTCACATTACATAATGACAAGTAAAGTACTAATTAATTGGTCACTTGTGGTAGAATACTTGCTGACATTATCAAACATTTCATTTCATCCGGCGATTTTGTGAGCTGTCAATATTTCATCAATCTTTCATCGTGTTTCTTATACTTGATATAAATTTTTTTTTAGGAAAATAGACGACAATTGGATGAAAGATTGAGGAGTTTAAATGACAGCGAAGCTTTAAAAGAAGCCAGAAGGAAATTCGTGAGCTCTTTCTTGTTCTTAAAATACTTTTTTGACAATTATTGTTTTACGAATATAATAATCATTTGTAACGAATTTATAGTCATCTTTGTTAGTTATTTCAATGAATGGATTCTGACAGCGCTCCTGAATATTATAGGAATTAATCGAAAAAGAAACTTTGAAGAGTTCACAACTTATCCAAAACAAAATCAACGAAGTCCGTGATCATATATCAAAGGTAGTTTGTTTGTTTTTCTTAATTTTTTCCACTTTTTTCGAACATAACCTAACTTGTAATGAATTTTTTGACTTATACAAGGCATACAAGTAGATATAACTCAAAAATTTTGAACACTTGGAAAGTAGTTGGATGAACATTCCTTTTCTTATGCAGTCAAAATAAAGTGACTTATCAGGAAAAGCGTCTTGAAATTTTAATTGTTGTTATGCATAGATAGTAGTGGAAGTGCAGAAAACGGAAACAGGGAAAAAGGTTTCTTTGGCCGCAGAAGAAATATTGAAGCAGGTAAAGAATGCTGCAGAAATGATGGAAAAAGCGGCAGAACAAATTGGAGACAACGAATTGTATCAGAGTGTTAGCTCAGTAAGTGCATAAAATACTAATCTGCATTATATATATCTTGTAATTTTTAATTTATAAGATTTATCGTGAGCATTTTCTTGTTTTTTTTTTTGAATGCAGACGGAATAAGGCAATATCTTAGAAGCTTCGAAGAAGTGGAGCAGGTTTCAAGTTAATAATCAATGAAGATCAAACGCTTTGAATCTGAAAAATTTTTCAGCTTTTGGGTTTGAAATAATTAGTGATTTGATAGTGAATTTTTTTTTTTGGGAATCCAGAACTAAGACTCTGTGATATGTTATTATAGAACAGATGTACTCTGTTGAGCCAGATGATGATGGTCGCTAGTGTGCCACATTAAATTTACTTTTGAAACTTTTCAGTCAGTGAAAATGATCAAAGATGAAGTTGATAGTATTGTCGATGTACGGATGTATACTCGACCAGGTTACATTTCTTCTTGTTTGACATTAACTATGCTGCCTATTGGGCAATTTTTTCACAAGATTTAGTTTCGTCTTTATGAGAAATCTGAAGAATTCATCGAGTAGTGCCATTCCGACTTTTAAAAAAGTATTTCAGATCAGTTAAGAATGCGCTCAGCATCTTTTTCTACTTACACTGACCGGATTGTGGAAGCTAATCCGTAAGTGTGCTTCTAATTAAAATCATTATTGTCAATTATTATTTTTCATGGGTTTTATTTGGTTTGAACAAGGTGAATTTATGTTTATAATAATCTTGAAAATGCTGAAAATTTACTGCCTCCTATAAATGGGGTATCTTTCGGAGTAAAAAAGTGCAGAGCTTACATAAAAGAAAATAACAACTACAGCTTTCTGGATCTTTTTTTATTATGAGATTATTGAATAACTCCAAGTCTGTATGTTTATGTCGTTTTTTTTTTTCATAAACATATAATTAAATTTCTACAGAAATGCAGTTGATGTAGAACTTCATAAAGAATCCAAGTGGTATGCTGGATGGAAAACTTTCTCCGAAAATAATATTTATTATAATAGTATGTTTGATGATTTTTAATAAATTTTCATTTCTTAGAACTTAAATTTATTGCAAAGTTTTCAATCTAATATATAAAGAAAATCAGTGAATTTGTACATTTTTTTTACTAAAACAGGATTGAGTGGTGTTATTATTATTTGTTTTGTGGGATAAATGTTATAAATTTTTGACTGATTTGTGAACATAAATGTTTTGTTCCAGAAATTTTGGATTGGAAAATGCGTTTGGATGAAAGTGATAATTTAGCGTTGAGAATGATGCGGAGCTTTACGGACAAAATTTCCTCACTATTCGGTATGTTCTTGGAAATTTATTTCACTGAAATTGATTAATAAAGTATTTGATATCATCTGATAGAATGCTTGTTTCTACTAATGATACTAATACTGTATCGCAGAAAATAGTGTTGTGATCTAAGATTTTTAAAATAAACATCTAACACTGAGTGGTTCATTCGGATCAAACATCATTGTAGATTGCGTTGTACCAGATGGTCTTTCGTATACAATATTTAGCAAAGCAATGATTTCCTCAATTTTAAGAAATGAAAAACGCAATTGCATTTATTGTACAAAATATTCCAAACAATTTCAAATTCAGGTCATAGTGAAATATCAGAAGTGCTTTCTGAAATTCAGAAAGTTGATCCGAATTTTGATAAAAATGAATGGTTACGTTTTTGCGAAAAAGAGATAATCCCGAACGTCATGGAAGCATTTATTCGTGGTGATTTGAAAATTCTCAAAGACTGGTGTTACGAAAGAGTTTGTTTTTCCGGATTTTTCTGCTTTTTTTTGAATTTTGCAGTTCTTTCAGTTTAATAAAATCCATGTGGATAAAATTCTAATATTGATTTTCAGGCTTATAATATTTTATCAACAATTGTCAATGAATACAAAAAGGTCAATTTTAGTACAGCAGATAGTCGCGTCATTGATATCGATAGGGTTGAGGTTTATTATTATCTCCTTATGAATAGCTTTATAGTTTTCTCATGCATTTCAATTGATTCTTTGTTAGCTGCAGCTTGACTATGTATTGAATGCAATTGTGCAATCTCGGATTTCAAACATGAAAGAATAGATACTGATGCTGATCTTTTGCTTTTAATTTCAATAGTTTAGTCTTGAAGATGCTTTGTAAAACCTATAAATATGACAGAAATTTCAATCAAATTGTGCTGTATTTTATTTAAATGATTTGTGATGAACAGAAGGCATATTTATTTTTCAGATATTTTGGGAAGAATCTTTATAAGTATGTTTTGATCAAAAATGTAATTTTTAATGTATTGAAAAAAAAATATGTATTTTAGATGGTTACTGGTAAGATGATGGAACATGGGCCAGTGATAATAATCACATTTCAAGCTTATATGGTAAATATTGTGAGGAATATGGAGGGAAAAGTTGTCGAAGGTGATCCGGTAAGTTTCTCGTTCTCAATATTCTTTTAACATGAAACGGAACTAATCCATATTTGGTTCATTTACAAATGAAGATTTGTCAAGGAAGAATTCGTAGATGACTGTATAAATGACAAAAATTGTGTACCTGAATTGTGTGATTCTAAAGTTATTGATAATAAGAACAGAATTTGTAGTACTTCAGATTTCAGGTTATTTCTAATATCAAATAAAAAAATTTCTGGAATACTTCTGCATTTTTTGTAAAATAGCATATAGTCCTTTATTTTAATTAGTTGGTTTAACATGCATTTGAAATTTCAAACTGCTTCGGGATTTGCAGAATAGTCCGGTACGTGTCCATCATGTGTGGGTAATGTGTCGTGATATGAAAGAGTATAATCCAAAGATGGCATGGAAAGTGCTTGAAATACACATGCAAAAGGGTAATTTAGCGTTGTGATATAATTTTTAATTGTTTCGAGATATTTTTCCTTTTCAATCTGCATGTCAAATTTTACTTTGCAATCGAAATTTTACTTCCGTCAAATGAAATAAATGGAATAAAATTTCTGCTTAACGTTATTTATGTCAGCATGTGTTAGGCATCATAGAGCAATGAGTAACAAAAAAAAAAAACTGCAATTGCTGCTGTTTTTTTATATCAGAACTAGGAAATAGTTCTACATAGGAAAATTGGAAAGATCATTCCAAGAGACATTTATTTCAATCTAAACTATTATGACGACTCAAAGGCAATTTTTAAAGTGAACTGTTAGTATTCATACTTGTTTACCTTCGATTTTCTATTTTTTTTCTGATTTCTGTTCTATCTCTCCTAACTTAGAGCAAATGAAGTTATTAAATTCTTCTTTGTGATAAAATTTTAACAATGACTGTCGAACACTTAAAATGAAAGAGTTGCTGCAAAAAAGTTTTTACAAAGTAATACTAATTGCATGTATATATGATGAGCATAAAAAAGTATTGGAAGAAATTCTTTCATTTATCATGAAATCTAATATTTGGTTTTATTCTTTTTTATTTATTTTTTCGTTTCCCAACCTAATTTGTTATTTTTGCCCAATAAGTTTGCTTTTTGCTATTTTTATTCTTTTATGTATACTTGGAGTCTAAATGGTTATATTTTAAAAATTGGAACAATTTTATGTAATTTAAATTAAAGATTTTCCTGGACCTAAGATATTATTAATTTAAAATTTTTAATAATGTTAAAGTTTTTTTCAAATTTTTTATAGGTTTGAAGTAAAAAAAAAAAATTGTTTGAAATGATGATTTGATGGATTAGATGAAGAATGGATTTGTTAGAACTCTTTCACTGCACCTTTTTTTTTTTTTTAACATAACATCGTTGAATTAAAATAGTTGAATTGAAATGACTATTTTCACATTAGACATTGTTAGCAGATAATCAACATATGACTTGTCACTGGATCTCTCGAAAATCAATCTATATGGAATTTATAGCACCAGCAGTTAAAATAATCTTTTCAATTACATTCATCTATGAAAAAAAAAAAATGATCGCTTTTCGAAGGAAGATAAATTGGTGCTTTCAAATTTTTTAATTCTTTTTTTTTTATGTTTTGGTTGGCAGCGGCATTGTTGTGTTTCCTTTTGCACTCTGATAAATGTTTTCAATGTGATTTTACTTATATTGCACTTTTGTCGTACTTTTTTGTTCAATGATTAGTAGCTGGATTTAACTTTTCGAAATGTTTTTCACTTTTTTTCCAAAACAAAAATCTACGATATGATATTGTAAAACAGTGAATGATGTAATAAATTTGTCTCGTGTTATATAGTTTGAAAAGATATCGTTCAATGAATGCAATGAAATATTAGGAAAAGATAGAATATTAAAATATATCTTATAGTATATTACTATTCGTTTATAACTGAATGCTAAAATGTTAACGGTAATAATTTATGCTATTTATACGTTAATAAATTTAGATTAAAGGAAAAAATAATTTTGAATTCAATGTTAATAATTCCTTTTATATGTACCTTAATGAGTTCATTGTTGTTTATCGTGCATAATAAAAAATAAAATGGCTTACTGTAGTGTTAGTATAATTTTTCAAATTTTTACTTTAACGGAAATAAAACGCAACGATTGCTGTTTCGTCATTTTCTTTTTTTCTCATAAATGCTAGAGTTTTTTTTTTTTTTTTCGGATGAATGAGTTATTTCATTATTCTCAGCGCAACTCCAAATATTGTATTTTTCAAAGTGAAAATTGATCGATTTAATTCAATATCATTGATGAGATTAAATAAATAAAGAAAAGAAAGAAAGAAAGAATTCATTCAGCATTCTTCAGACTGTTGAATTGAATTGCTAATGTAAATAGAGGAGAGCAACTAAATGAAATCATAAGGTTACATGATGTAAAATGAAGCGAATAACAGAAAGCAAAAATTTTCACTGAGCTAATTTTCTAAAAGTTGCTTCAATTCAGTTTAGTCATGTCCAACACTTCAACTTATCAGATATCGATGTTATACGTCAAAAATCAGCATTATATTTGTAAATTTGATGGTATTAATAAAAATAAATGATTTGAGGTTCAATTTTTTCAATCGATTTGATATTTAATTCTTTTCATCGATATCACAAAATTTTTCACGATCGCATAAAATCATTCGTTCAAACTACTTAAGAGGAATTTGACACAAAAAAAAGATGAATTTCTTCCCAGATCAAAGGTCAAATGAATGGGAAGGTTTTATCTTTTGTTGTTCACAAATTTTTTAAAAGTGAGGAATCTTGGTGATGAAATCAAAGCGATGTTTGTTTGAAGTTGACATATTGTTAATTAGCAATTGGTTATGATAGTATTATTATCATAAGAATTAATAATACTTACTAATATGATTATTTTTAACGTTA